TACTCTTTTTTTTCTTTTCTTTTTCACACTAGCGATATTATATACACACGTTGTATACAAGAACATTCTTGTGCGCCCGGTTCATTGTATCTCCATCAATATGAATAGATTTGAACTTTTATCTAATACAAGGGCTGATTTGGACCCCAACAGCCGAAACCCTAGCAGTCTAGCAAATGAAGAAGGCATGCGTATGTTTAAATTTTAATTATTCATGTAAAAACATATAATATAAGATTTGGCACTTTTTCCGCAACAGGGTGACTACGATGGGTTAGAGCCGTGCATCTTGTAGTGGTTTCTTCATCGATTCGGCCGCGTACGCGGTAGGCGGAGATCTGTTTAGGATTTTTAGGTTTTTTTGTGTGGTCACTTTTGGGCCTCTACAATTGGACCTTAACTTTTGGGCTCCTATGTATTTTTTGCTTTAGGTATAGATAAGAACCTATACTCATGCATTGTGTGCACATATGTGGCGTCTTGTTTGTACCGATCTTTTTTTTAAGACTGTTTTATTTCTCGCTTTTAGCTGCGAAATCTTTGCAATTTGTCGTTCTGGACTTTGTTACAAAAATTCCCTTTGACCAAAAAAAAAAAATTGTCAATTTTAAATTGTGTCACACCGCAACTTCCATGTGGCCTTTAATATATGCAGAAGCGAAATTCCTTCTTCTTTCTCCTCCTGATTTGGCTCTATGCTAGCTATTTCTGATAATATTGAACAATATTTTAGTCTGCAATCTACATATATATGATATCTCTATACATGCATGATCAGTTGGCCATATATCTTCTGCTGCCAATGTACGTAAATAATGGATGCATTATATATATATATTCGCGTGATGAAATAGGAGAGCATGAATGTTTGCAATTTGTTTATGATACAATCAGTCAGGATCTTGAAGACCATTGTAGTTAAGAATTTATGTCCAAGTTTTAATGGTTAGGTTACTTGCAATTTGAATTTACGTTTAAAAAATGTACATATGAATTTTAAAGTGAACCAACCGAATGGTAGTTTTCCTTGGAACCAAAGGTCAGTTGAGATTTGCTAAAGATCGAAGAACTGGGTTTACTTTTTTGTTCTTTAGTTTATATTGATTATCCTCAATTTGACTTTGTTTTAAAGACGAAAATAACCTTATTTAGTTTTTAATAAAATACCAAATTGATATCAATTTGCGGAATCTTTGAATTTCATTTTCTTATAATTTAGATCAAATATATTAGAGTATCGCTTGAATAAAGAACAAATTGATTTTTTAGGCCCATATAGTACATGCCCATCTCTCTCATTTTCGCTTGTTTTTTACCTGTATATTTATCTTTCTTCCGGCGGGCTACATATCCATACCAAAACAAATACATGGCCCTTATATGAAGGTGGTTTCTAGTAGTAGACGTTGACTGAAACAAATACATGTCCATACTTTCTATTTTCTTTGATATAATGCCCATACTCTCCATACTGATTTCAAGTGTCCAAGTAGTGAGTACTGAGAAAAACCATGTGCATTATAGTTCCCCACAATTTACAAGCCACTTTAGTGGTGTGTATAACAAATGAAAAATTAATGCATGTGAAGTATTCTCACACGTACGCGGGTATTTAAAGATAAAGATGAGTATATATGATCTTTAATATCTTATATATATGTGTGTGTGTGTGTGTGTGTGGATGTATGTGAGAACTAACTCCAACCTTCAAGATGTGCATTGAACTTGTTATATTGTGGCCTCATCAATGTATTTCGTCGGTTTCATTGGACATGCATATTCATATGATCAGTATATATATATGTGTGTGTGGTGTGTGTGTGTGTGTGTGTGTGTGTGTGGATGTATGTAAGAACTAACTCCAACCTTCAAGATGTGCATTGAACTTGTTATATTGTGGCCTGATCAATGTATTTCGTCGGTTTCATTGGACATGCATATTCATATGATCAGATCGAGTAGATAATTCCGTCGACTGAACGCTCTCCAATTCCAAAATATGGGAGTACTTGATGGAGTAGTAATTTGCAAATTGATAAAAGTTTATGTACATGATCAACAATATTAATCGGAAAAGAAAACACAGTATCACCACTTAGAAGGGTAGCATTTCTCGAAGATGAAGACCTACCACATGCATAAGCATGGAAAAAAAAATAATATTATGATCACCTTTAGGAAGTCATTTGACGTCAAACTCAGTCTTGCCAAAAAGCTTCTTGCATACGTAGAGCATTAAGAACAGTTGTATTAGCTACCAGAAATATGAGAATTCTAATTTCAAAGACAACGCTTAAGCACCTTAAACTTCTGCAACATAACAAACGTGCCCTTAGTTAGCAAAGGAATGAACCAAGAAGAGTGTAGAGTAGTGTTTCCTTATGCCAAGAAATTAGTTTTAGTTACAATAACAAAAAAAAAAAAAAAAAAAAAAAGAAATCCCAATTGGATCCATCATCGTGATCCCAATCTAAACTGAGGTGAAATGAAAAAGATTGGGCCTTAATGTTATTCTTAAAAATTTGTTGATTTTGGGCTGATAAAACCCAAGTTAGTAGGCTTCAAATATAACGAAGAAGAGATGTACCAAGAAACATAACAAAGAGACAGTGCAGGTTGGGTGATTTAGGATTTAAGGTCTTGTCTCTCATCTCTTCTTTTCTTCACGATGCAAAGATTGTAAAAACCTCCCACAAGATTTTTCACGAGTTAACTATTAGAATTTAATTAAATCGCATTCGTGTCATTTGATGCGCAAGAGAACAAAACTTGCAACGGTTGATTCATACGGAATATCAAATGAGCATAGTCATGAGAAATGATTTTTGCATATTCTTTTTTTCACGTGTACTTTTCTCTTTTTTTTAGGTGTTGAATTGAACAAAAGAGTCTCCATGAACGAAAGAAAAAAGATACTGTAGAAGGAAAAAATAAGTGTCTGAAAAATCATTTTTCATATGCATGTATAGTGATGCCGTATTTGGTAACAATTACAACGTGTTAAATTTTGTATTTGGTTAGTTTCTAGTAGATTTTTCAAACGACTATTACACCGTTACCCTCTTGTTAATTTCAAACTTCTTAATTTGGGATTGAAAAAATGATTCTTTTCCATATATAGTTTGATCGCAGATATGACAATATTTTAATGGCATTCGCTCATATTTGCCCATAAGGCTGGTAGAGCCACTGTGCTGTTCTTCCAGTATTTGAGTTTTTCTTGAAACACAAGGGCAAGGTGTTTGATGAAATACGTCGTAGAATTTTTCTTCTTGGAAACCTGCCTCTTTACGTACTCTTTGGTACAACAAATTTCTATCTCCGCCACTGTATATCCACGAATACGCATACGATACTAGAGCTAGCGGTGTTGTGCCGTGTATTGTTCTGTGAGAAATCGATCTAGAAGAAGGATTATTTTGACTAAGGGGTTGCTTAATTGTTTTCTCTCACCGAGCGTTAGGGTCGTTGTCCTCCTCTCTTCTAGAAAACGTCCCTCGACATCTTATCATGCGGTCTCCATATCTAAATCTCATGCTGCTGACGACTGACGAGGATGAGGAATTAAAAAGAATTTTCTGCAATCGGCAGGTAAGAAAATGACCCTTAAGAAAACTCTAAACCCCAATATTATATATGTATATATATTAAAAGCGGATTCGTGATACTATTTTTTAACGTGTATTTTTGTGGAGCACACTTCTAATATATTTTAACTATTCAAACTGTCTATCTTTTAGAATATAATTCATATATCATCTTTGTAAAAAATAGACAAATCCAAAACCATTAAGTTATAGTGGAGAAAATGAACGAATAAGATTCTACGAAAAAAAACTCTAAATCCAATAGATCTGCTTCTTTTTGTTCTTACGAACAGAATAGTTTCATTATTACTAAAAGTAATTGAAAAGAATCAAACAAATCAAACAAATATTATAATCCAACGGTCATATGGTTATAGAGATAAATGATTTTTGGTAGACATAACCCTTTAGGATAGGTCTAAAAAATACACAATTCTAATTGTTGAAATAAATTACAAAATGAGTCTCATAAAACCGTGTGGAAAAAATTATGTAAACAAATGCTGCCACGAATCCGTCTCATACTTATATAAGTTAAGTTCGTTGTTTGACTTGTGTGTGCATGTCTATGTATAATGACATTCATACTATGCGAAGACTCAATATTGTAGTGCGTGTGACGCGAATTCCACTAGGTATGCATAGGTTATGCATATATAGCCCCACACGTTATTAGGCAAATATTGTCTTCAGATGTACCAATCGAGGTCGGCATAAAAAGATAAGCAAACATTCTAACTTCATCTTCAATCACAAGTGGAAGCCTATCTGAATTTGTCTCGTACTTGATTTACACATTGTATTTATAAAATAAAGATAATCGGTTTTCACTAAAAATAATATTGAAAATAGAGAAATTAAACACACGGTTTTCAAATGTAGTAGTGTACATTTATAAGCTGTGGCTTGCAGACACGAAATTAGAGATAATCAAGGGCATAAATTATCGAAGATAAGTTATTTTTCAAGATAAATATGAAACGTTGATATTGTAATAATAAAATTTTGTAAAGTAATATAGATTTTGAAATGATTAAATCGATATCCATATAATCGCAAGAATTATGTGAAGAATACTATGTTATCGATTTTTGAGTAATTATAATTTATTAAGAATTTTATTTACTCTTATTTGAATTTGTTTAAGTTTCATAATTTATGAGATATTGAATTCATAAATGCAAGAGTTACAATGATGCTAAGAACTTTGATCAAAATATTTAAACAAACACAATTTCAACCTAACAATATGAGCTGACTAGGAATCGAAACCAAAATGACTCTTAATTCAACTTTGCAATTAAAAACCAAAGAGAAAATGCACAGAAATAAAACGGGGTGCGAAATGACCAAAATGCCCCTTAATTCATTTGAAATTTAGGACAAGAATAAAAAATCCATAAAAAGTTAAAACTTCAGCTTTCAATCTCACCCAATTCCTCCTCTTTTTCTGATTTCTCTCTCCAAAGTTCTTAGCAAAAAAAACAGAGACCCCTCAACCGATCGATGTTATGTATAAATCTTCTTGCAGAAAAAACAGTCCGTCAGTAAACCAATCACATAACGGTCTCCTCAGAACTCCGAGGCTCTCTCTAAGCAACCCCCCATAAGATTAGTTCAACTTCAACCCCAAGTCGCTGACATGTTCTTTTCTCACCTCCCCTAAACTTTTGCTTCCAAATCCCCCTTAAATTTCAGCAGTTAGGTCAGATTTCCACCTTCGGGAATCCCATTTCATGCAACCCTTTCGAGCATTTGCATGAATCTTCCTGCTCTCTTCAGGTGGGAAGTCCATTCCTCCCTGAAAATTCAACGTGGTAATCAGAGCCTGCGTGAAACTCCTCTGTATTTTTGCTTCAAACTGAGATAAAGCGATTGATTTATGGGTTTCTTCACTGATGGGTGCCTTAATCATTTCTTTGCTAAATACCCACTTTGATTTGGAGAATATGGGTGCTTCTGGTGGGGAGTTTTACTCAAAGATGGCTCCTTTTCCTAGACTTTTCACCCTCTCTGTCTCTTCCCTTTTGCTTGCTCTGTTAAGATTTTTCAGCAAGTTCTTCCTCAGAGTCAGGTATTCAAATTCCCACTTGGGTTTTGTAACTCTGATGTTTTTAGATGAATTCTCGGCTGGGTTTTGTAATTCAGATACTTTTTTATTGATTCAGTAACTTATTTTTGTGTTTCCTTTTGTTGCAGTTTTGGTAATTGCGAGCGTTCTGGGATGAATAATTCTTGTCGTTCTCCTAACCCTCTTTCTGAAGAAACCAACCAAATGGTATCGAATAATAATCTTGTTGAGACAGAAGCTCTACCCGGAAAAGTGGATTCTTGTTCTGCTAGCCTTGTTTCTGAAGAAACCAATCATATGGTATCGAATAATCCGGTTAAGCCAGAAGCTCTGCCGGAGAGAGCTGATTCCGAGAGTTCGGAGAGCGTCGGAGATTCGGAGCTTGGTGATGTTGATGGTGCAGAGGCCTCGAAGCCGAGTTTCGTGTTTAAATTCGAGTACCAGACTAGAGAAATATTAAGCAGAAGCAATACAGAGTATGAGTTTCTGGCTGACAAGTTTAACCTATTCAAAGAAGAAGGACCAGAATTCACAAGCAGCAGCAGCAGCAGAAAATACGAATTCAAAGCCGGAGAGAATGTTAGTTGCTTCGTGGAAGAAGCTAAAGTTGCAACCTTCACTGTCGAAGGAGGAGGTGATCATGAAGAAATTGCTCATGAATTCTCAGGTGGGGAATGCAAGGAAGATGAAGAGTCTGATAAGAAATCGGCGATGGAAGATGCTCGTTCGGACGAAGAGCTAATGGGGAGCCTCGAAAGCGATTCTGATCGTGAGGAAGTTGATTCTCATGAAGTTAATTTCTTGTCAGAAAAGGACTTTGGCTCCCCAAGTTTGGGGTTTTTGTCAGCAGAAGATTTTGGGGAAAGAGATGAACTTCCAAATTTCGATATGGGGTACGAGTCTGATTGTTTCGATGAAGAAGATGAAGATATAAACGAACAAATTCGAGAACTCCAAGAGCTGCCCAGCAGCTCGAATCCAGAAGGGTTTAGTAGAAAGGACGAAACGCCAATCGAGCGTTCCGAAAATGCTGAAAAACCCGATGTTCGTAATTCGGTAACCAATGATTCTGAGGATTCAAACACATTGGAAACATTGTGGGAACACCAGGAATTGTTAGAACAGTTGAAAATGGAGCTCAAGAAAGTCAGAGCTACCGGTTTGCCTACCATTCTCGAAGAATCCGAGTCTCCAAATATGGATGATTTGAAACCATGGAAGATTGATGAAAAGGCCCATCAAGGTGATCGAATGGGAGAGCTTCAGAAGTTCCACAGAATTTACAGAGAGCGTATGCGAAAATTCGACATTTTAAATTACCAGAAGTTATATGCAATAGGTCAGTTTTTTTTCATCAATTTCGATTAATTTCTTCACAGTTTCAAATCATTTTGTTTGTTTTTTCTTCCCAAATTCTTTTCTTCTTAATTTCCATCTGTTCTTATCCATTCGATTCATCGGTATGATTAATTTAACCTAATTAGGACCCACATACATCCCAACCATCAAGAGTGATTATTACATGACCTAATTAAATTAGAACACACACCTTTCCCGGTTCTCCATTGTGTAAGCACTTTTCAAAAAAAGCATTTTTGCATATGTAGGTATTAAATATTGTCCAAAAGCACATTACATACTCAGTGGCTGTGCAGATAGTACATAGAGCCATCCCATTACCCTTAGTTTATGTTTAATTAGCACCTTCTGAGCATGCTGGTCTTTAAGCTCCACCAGTCTAATTATGGAAGTGCTTTTGTGCTCCACCATTTTGTTTGTTGGTTTCTTCTTTGCAGACAAGCTGCAGAAATTCATGTATATGAAAAGTTAATCTGTAATTATTAAATTAAATTGACTTTAATTCACATGATCTCGTTTTCTTATGTGTTTTATGAAAATCCAAATGTGTAGGTTTCTTGCAGTCCAAGGATCCACTTCAGTCGTTTCCGAGCTCCTCCAAATCCTCAGCTCCGGCAATCCCATCCTTTCTCTCACATAACTTTTGGAGATGCAAACCGAAAAAAGATTCAGATTCCGACCCAATGGAGAAGTTTATTAGAGAATTGCATGGTGATTTAGAAGCGGTTTATGTGGGGCAGTTGTGCCTTTCTTGGGAGATCCTTCAATGGCAGTATGAGAAGGCCTTCAAGCTATGGGAATCCGCTCCGTATGGAATTGGTTCGTACAATGTGGTTGCCGGCGAGTTCCAACAGTTTCAAGTTCACTTGGTTAGATTTGTAGAGAACGAATGTTTTCAAGGGCCTAGGGTTGAAAATTACGTCAAGAATCGATGCGTCACGCGCCATCTTCTTCAAGTTCCGGTGATTAGAAGTGAGGGAGACTTGTAGATCAAATGTTGCGGTTACTTATAGATGTTGAAGGTTTGATTTATAGAGACTAATACAAATGTATGGCATTGCAGGGGACAATTTAAAGGAGAGGAAGAAAGCAAGAAGAAAGGGCAAAGACGGTGGTGCAATTACAAGTGACATTCTAGTTGAGATACTCGAAGAATCAATACGGACAATTTGGCGATTCATTCGAGCTGATAAATACGCTAATTGTACGCTTGCACATCGAAGGAGAAGACAAGAAGAAGAGCTTGAAGAATCGGATCTGAATCTTTTCACGGAGATCCAAACAGATCTTCACAAGGTAGGTTTCTTATCAGATAGTCTAACATACGAGTTTTCATGTTTCCGTTTGACCTAACGATCGAATCAACTTTTTTTTTTTTTCCATGGAATGCAGAAAAACATGAAGCTAAAAGAAAGACTGAGGTGTGGGAACTGCATCCTGAAGAGATTCAAAAAGCATGAGGATGAAGGCACAGATCACCTCTACTTCTTCTCCCAAGTTGACATGAAATTGGTAGCTAGGGTTTTGAACATGTCGACTATAACAACAGAGCAACTAGTGTGGTGTCACAACAAGTTGAGCCAGATAAATTTTGTGAACCGAAAGCTTCGTGTAGATCCTTCCATCTTGCTGTTTCCATGCTAGCAATAGCAGTAGTCCCATTTTTGTCTAACCAAAGTAAATATTAGGCTTCAAGCTGCACATTATTGTTCATATTTTCTTGGCAAAGCGATATTCTAATTCACATTAATTTATGAGAAAATGATTTTGAATTTAAAAACAAAGGTAGGAACAAATTGACATGGCTAACTGATTCATCTCATATCTTATTATTGTTCATATTTGATTGTTTGAAGAATATATGCCTAATTATATTATTAGTCCTCATGGTAATAGGAAAGTCGGCCCTTGTGGTAAAGTTCTTTGGGATTTAGGTCCAAAAAAAAAAGTTTCTTCAACTCTCCGTTAATTGTTATCACGTGAACAACATGTGTGATGTTAACTCTTATTTTTAACCTCATATGCAAACAATTAATGGAGAGTTCAAGTTCAGTTCAAATACCTAAATTGACGGAACTTTCAAATTTGGGTCTAACCAAGTCATCACAACAATCCTTTTTTTTATTTTTTTACCGTTAGATGCTTTTTTCTGACTACCATGTCATCAAGAATATTATTAATTGAATTAAGTTAAAAATATGTACGACGGTGGTAATGTTGAAGTCTGTGGGCAGAAGACTAAACATATATCTTGCGGCAAAGACGAGGTCCCCACGCGTTTGCGTTCTCAAGGTGCAAGAATTATCATCTACTCGGTCAAATTTTCAATTTTCAACGATGCTATAACTAACTTACCTGTAAAGTTTAATGGGGAAATTTGTAATGGTGGGTGGAAGGTGGGTGACAATTTTGGTAAGTAATTAAGCAAGATTTTAAGAATTTTAGATGACGTTTTACTGCATTGATAGAAAGTAATAATGTATGTGCATTCTAGTGCAGGTTTTATTGGTGCATATTCTATTTCTACTAATTCTCTTTCCTTAATATTTAATAATTTAACCCACTAACATTATTGTTTAGGTAGCAAAAACTTTGTTTTATTTATTTTTATCATAGTGAGATTTTTTTTTTCAGCTAGAAGAAATTTTTCGATGTGTAGGAACACGGATCGGTACACAAAGTGTAATAATATAATTGGTTGAATTTTTTTTTAAATCTTCAACAAATTATGTTAGTACACTTCGTATTGAATTGTGATCCGGACATAGTAAAATTAGAGCATAGATGGGAAGTTAAACTTGGTCTGTCTTCCAACGTTATGGAGAACAAATTCTACTAGACCGATACATAATTGATCGGCCACATTGAAACTCGAATTTAGGTCCAAAACTTATAACCGTACCTTTCAATGAGATAGAAGGTAGGTAAGGTAAACACATGAAGCGATTGTGGAACCAAATTTTGAAAAGCATGATCGGTTTGGTTTGGCTTTCTACCGAAATTATAAATTAGTAGTTAAACCGGACCGAACGACAGAGTCCGGTCCAGACCAGTCGGTTTGTTGAAATTTTGGTTAATTTTGCTAATTGCTAGGTTCAGGCCCGTCCCTTCTTAATTTGGACCCGGCCCATGTTTAACTTAATCCTCACCGTCGAGTACTAATAATCTCGCCTGAGCCGTTAGATCTAGGGTTTCTCACCCTTCGAAAACCCTATTTAAACTCTCTCATCTTCAAAGCTCGCCCCTCTTGTTGCGCTCCATCGCACTTACAGAGAGAGAGGGGCAGCCGAGCTAAACCAGCACTCCAAAAATGGTGCAGCGGCTCACGTACCGGAAGCGTCACAGCTACGCCACCAAGTCCAACCAGCACCGCATCGTCAAAACCCCCGGTAAGATATTTTTCACCGATTGCATTCCCAATTCGCTTCTGAAATATGATCGAGTTTTCAATTAGGGTTTTACTGGTTTTGTTTAAGATGTCGTTTGATTGCTTTGGCTGAGTTGATTTTGTGCGTTTTGAATGTTAGGTGGGAAATTGATCTATCAGACCACCAAGAAAAGAGCCAGCGGCCCCAAATGCCCTGTTACTGGCAAGAGAATCCAAGGGGTATGCATATTCTTTCTTTTGATTGTTTATTATCTGTGTATGCGGTTGTATATGTGTGTGTGTGTGTGTATGTATTTGTTTGACTGAGCAATTAGGTTAGTTTTATGATTTGAATGCAAGAATGTTTGTGATTGTATTTGGTTGATGAATGATTGGTTGGGGTTTATGAATTTGTGGGAGACTAGGCAGTAGTTTCTGAAATTCGAATATGAACTCTAGAGGCCAAATGCACGGTTTCATAGTACGACTTATACCGGGTTCATAAACAAAACTTCATATCTTTTGAATCCAAGCATACTATTAGATTTGTGACGGGGGGATTTGATCAGTCCCCATCTTGGAGCAGGCAACCAATGCTTGTATATTCCAAGTGTTATAACGTCGCATATAGACTTGCCAATTGGTCCTCCCAGCTCTTGTTGGGAGCTCCTCCGTTGACGGTGGTGTCATATCCTATCTTCCCGTGGAGCAGTGTCACTGCCATTACCACTTCGGAAGATAGCCATGCACTGACATTTTCAATTTTCAATATTTTGATTTTTGCTTTCTCTAAAGTTAAACATGTAACGAGAATCATTGGAGTTTTGACAAATTGATTGTATATTTGTTTTTTTTATTAGTTTGTATCAACCTACTTTATATGATATTTGGGAATTCTTATGTGCGTCCATGTGCAATCGAATTCCTTTATATTTCTCATTGTAATTATGGCTGATAATAATTTTGGTTTCCTTGCAGATTCCTCACTTGAGACCGGCTGAGTACAAGCGGTCTAGACTATCTAGGAACCGCAGGACTGTGAACCGGGCCTATGGTGGTGTATTGTCCGGAGGTGCTGTTAGGGAGAGGTAATTTAGTGCCAAACATTCTGATTTCAGAATGCGCTGGTTTTGTAGCAACTCTTTGGTGGTAAATTAGTAATCAAGGCATTGCGTTGAGTTTTTGTTGTTTGATTTTATGCAGGATCATTAGGGCTTTCTTGGTGGAAGAGCAGAAAATTGTCAAGAAGGTTTTGAAGATCCAAAAGGCCAAGGAAAAGCAGGCGGAGAAAGGAGCTAGGAGCTAAACGAGGCGAGAATCGATAGTCTTTTGATCGAAGTATAAGAAATGGTTGAGCGAGATTTTGTCGTTAGGTTTTGTTGATTGATGAATTTGGATCTTAGATTGGAATGCTTTTATTGATATGTGCTACTCGGTTAATTTCGTTTCAATGACAAACCAATTGCCTGTTTCGTTTGTGATAATCTTGTTCGTTGATCGTCATCCTCTCTAGGAAGCTCCAACTTTTCGATTTTGTTGTTTATTTTGTGCATGATAATTTTGCACGGGAACTTTAACAAAAAGTTTTTGGTACTGTTCATTTTAACGAAAAATCAGATTTTTACATTAAAAAGTTAATCATGGTATTATTTATCTTACCATTTTGTCTTTATCGTTAAAACTCGAAGTTTTTAAATTATTTTTATTAGTTTTTCTAATTTTGCAAGTGTAACTAAAAGGATGGAAGCAATCGCATGGAAATATTCATAGAACCAAAGGGAAGGAAATGTGAGGCAAACAAGCAACTCTTCCGAATGTGCAAATTGTGATTCTTCAGTTGAAGTTTTATAAGAAAAATGGTTTTGGAGAGATTGAATGGTGGTTATTGACACAACTCATATTTAACGGCTAATAGCTCACGCCCATCCTTTTTCTACCAAGTTAAAATTTTATACTCTTTATATGTAAAAAAGCTATTCATATTTTAATGAAGTCAAGGTATCATCTCACCGTGTAAAAAATTATCCAAAACTGTTCATTTTATTTATATTTACAGATTATTTCTAAAAAAAAAAATCATCTAATTTAGAAATTGTTCAACTATCTATACATATCGAACTAATTAACGATTACGATAAATAAAATAAACAATTTCAAATATAACGTTTGTGCCATAAAATTATGTTTAAGATAGTGCTATTTATACAACCATTTTTACCTCACACACACCCTTCTTAATTTTTTATTATAGATCAATTTATTCGATCCGACGACAAAAATTAAGAGGAATGTGTGAGAAGTTAAAATAGGTGTGTAAATAGCAGTGTTCTATATTTGGTAGTGTCTCCTTGGCTCTTACGAACTAGGATTCTCTCTCATCCTACTTCCATCCCCTCCTCTCACATTCTCTATTTTGTCTTTCTTTTTTCTATAAAAAAATTAATATAAGATGTTTACGTGGCTTAACAGTGACCGTTCAAGTAGGAGGAGAGAGAATGAGAGATTTTTCAGTGTGATTGTCACACGAGGCAGTACACCACGTGTTCCTATATAAATAGTGGGATATGTGTGTTAAAAGGTTAATAACTTAAAAATTAAAAATTTTCACCACTTACCTAAAAACAAGTGGTCTACAATTCGTATTCTTGTCACAACTAAAAATTTTTCGAAAAGAAGGGGAGAGGAAAAAGATGGGGGAGAAAATCCTACTCCGGCCCTTACATTGTCCTTTGGGATCGGAGGGTAGAATGGTAATCGTACCGTGTCAGTGGTGAACAGTGAGAAGAACTGAGAAGTGAGAAGAGAGGCCACAACCCAACCAACTCTTATCTCCCTCCGCCTCTCTCAAAACTTCCATTTTTCAGAGACGCGCAGAAAGCTTTCGTTCTTTGTCATCTCTTTCCCATTCATATATCTATCTGCAGAATCCAAGTCATAACATTATCAACCAGCAAACCAATAAAATGCAAGCGTTAGCATGCAGTTCTCCTCCTCTGCAGTCCTACTCATTGGGCTTGGGCACCTCCAAGAACCGCCTACTCAGCCGCCGGCAGCTCTGCTGCGACGGAATTTCCTCCGCCTGTTCTCACACTCAATCCAACCGCACTCACTCCCCGGACGACGCCGTTTCTCCCTTGTCCATTTCCACCCAAAGGTCCCCTTTCTTTCTGAGTAGCATTTTACTGACCTGAGCTTTTCTGTTCACTGCATTGTGGTAATTCTTGTGATTTGTGTTGATGGGTGTTTATAGAATTGAAAGAGTTTCGATTTTTATGCTGTATCATGTAATTTTAGTTTCTGGGTTTTTGCTAGAATTCTGATTTTTGGTTTGTTTGTTCTTTTGACCATTTAGGAGTGTCCAAAAACTGAGCAAGGATTTTGATCCGTTGGTAGACGAGGGTACGAATTTCACAACGAGGCGGGCGTTGTTTGCGAGTATTTTCATGTATTCGCTTTGTGATCCTTCAAGGTACTTGTCAGGTTCGCAAGTTTTCAGCTTTTGCCTTCATTTTTTAATTTGGATGATATTGTTATACCTGTCAAAAATGCCCCGTGAGGTGTTTAGTTTGCAAAAAGTTACAGAATGTAGCTAATAATAGCAATTGTGGACTACGTAGTATGCTTGCCAAGTTTCGCATTGGCAATGTAGGCGAAAGCTGTGTCCCGGAGGACTGTTACGAAACTGTGTCTGGTCCATAGATATGAGTAGTTCAAAAATAAATGTTAAACAACACGGTACCCGTTTTGTTTCGTCTATGTTGGCTCTATTTGATAGCTTATTTCAAAGTATTTGGTATGGTATTTGTTACAGCTTGTGTATTTGTTTCATGCCAACTACTCCATTCTGATGATGCAATTTACTTTGGATTTACAGCTCTAGCTTTAGGGGATCCCTCTGTAACAATTGAAGAAGTAACTCCTCCAGTTTTCACTTCCGGGCCTCTCTTCCCCACTGAGGTCCATATTTTTCTTTATTTTGTATACCTTTATAAGAGGAATCATTCTTTTATAAGTTTCACACTCCATTCTTCTGAATTCTGATGTTTTTGGCTGAATTGTTGATGTGGCTGATTGACAGGAAAGAATTGTCGAACTCTTTGAGAAGAACACATACTCTGTTGTTAACATTTTTGATGTGACATTGCGTCCTCAACTTAATATAACTGGCGTGGTTGAGGTGCGTGCCTATTATACTCAATCTTTGATAACTCTTTAGTTTCTAAAAGTAGAATTTTCCATTATGTTCGCTTTTCCTTTGAATTTTTTTTTGGCTAATCGCATGTGGCATGTACCCACAGGTTCCAGAAGGAAATGGTTCAGGAGTAGTTTGGGATGGTCAAGGTCACATTGTAACAAATTATCATGGTAGGATCTTAAAGAATTACCTGATAATAATCATAATATAAAAGAATATTGTTGTAGGTCTCAAAACAGTAAATGAATACATCATCCGTGATTTTGCTTCTTACTGATGTTATTTATGGTGTTAACCAGAAGATATTGCTTATTACAATGAAGCCAAAATGTTCATTCCGAAAAATACTTCCAATTCATGGGCTCGAAATAACAAAAATGTCAAAAAGATGGAATGGATTGCTAGTAAAATATACAAATGGAGGGACTTAAATTAAATTTAACAATTGTTTCTTTTATTTACAGTAATTGGTAATGCCCTCTCTAGAAATCCAGGTCTTGGGGAGGTCGTTGCACGAGTTAACATTCTAGCATTGGAAGGGTGAGATTTCAGTGCATTCCTAGATAGACTTTTAAACGGTGGCCTTAATGCAGAAATTTATATTTCTCATTTGGTTGAATTTTTTGTAAAAGGTTACAAAAGAATTTTGAGGGTAAGCTAATTGGTGCTGACCGTGCAAAAGATCTTGCTGTCTTGAAGGTATTTTCTGTTATTGCAGAGGATCATTTCATGGTCACTTTCAAATTGCAATGTCTTAGCACAAGTAGCTAGGTACTGATTTATCTAAATTTTAGGTAGAAGCATCCGAAGATCTGTTGAAGCCAATCTCTGTTGGGCAATCATCTTCTCTAAGAGTTGGGCAGCAGTGTTTAGCAATTGGAAATCCATTTGGTTTTGATCACACCCTCACTGTTGGAGTAATTAGCGGACTGAATCGAGACATTTTCAGTCAAGCTGGAGTCACAATTAGTGGTGGGATCCAAACAGATGCAGCAATCAATCCTGGGAACAGGTTGGTGATTTCATTTTAACATAAAAATCAGTTAGAAATAATTTTATCTTTTGAACTTGATCTGACCTGCTCCTTGTTCTTACTATGGCAGTGGAGGTCCCCTGTTAGATTCGAAAGGAAATTTAATTGGGATCAATACCGCAATATTTACTCAGACAGGTTAGTAATACCATTGTAAAGTCCACCACAGAACTCTAATATATATTCAAAGTTGAAATTTGAGAAAATAAGTACGGAAGTTGCATACTGATTGCCTCAAAATTTAAATGGTTTGGCAGGGACATCAGCCGGTGTTGGGTTTGCCATCCCATCTTCAACTGTACTCAAAATCGTGCCTCAGTTGATTCAATATGGAAAAGTACGTATAGTTGCCAATTATTTTTATAGTTTGAACTGACTGGCACCAACCCCTTGGTTTTATTATATAATGTTCTTGGTGGTTCTTCACTGGTTCATCCATTGTAGGTTGTTCGAGCTGGTTTGAATGTGGAGATTGCTCCAGAGCTAGTTGCAAATCAACTCAATGTTCGATATGGAGCTCTCGTTCTACAGGTATACCTGTAGATTTTAGGTTGCATTGCATATCAATTAATATCTCTGTCCTTCGTATTCACATCCATCCATGGACAGTTCATTTCCTGATTGTTCGATTCACCTTATAATGCTGCAGGTCCCTAAAAATAGTGTTGCAGCAAAGGCTGGCCTGATTCCCACCACAAGGGGGTTTGCAGGGAATATAGTACTTGGGGATATCATCGTTGCAGTTGATGACAAACCCGTGAGCTGTCCCTTACTCAAATCTTACCATCTTTCATCTCCATGCATTATAACATGCTTCTGTTCAATTTACAAAATCAGTAACCTGTATCCAATGATTCCTCCATGGACGTAGTGCAAGAGCTTGTATCGACACTGTTTGCTCTTGTTTTCCATTTCGTAAAGTTTGAAAATTAAAAATAGACAACCATTGCTCGACAATCTAAGTCTTTGTACTCGCGAGGTCTACCGAAACTAATTTATTGATCGATGTTGTGTTATGTTATAACAGGTTAAAAGCAAAGCAGAGTTCAACAGAGTATTTGATGAATATAATGTGGGGGATCAAGTAATTTTGAAGATCCAGAGGAGCAGTGAAAAATTGGAGATTCCTATAACATTAGAGGAAAAGAGTTCATGATTTGGTGTGCTGACAATTTTTACTTGCTAGTCAGCCAAGCATTTTCTTCAGCTGTAAAACGAAAGGCGACCCCATACCAACAAGGCTCCCTGCTTTGCTA